CCCCAAAACCCCAAAACCCCAAAACCCCAAAACCCCAAAACCCCGCTTTTCAAGCATAAACTTGAAAAATAAAGACGTCAAAGTGAATCCCAAGACCCTCTGAGGTAATTACAGTGAGTATTTCTACTTTGTTACAAGTCAATTAGCATATACTGAGCTATATCTCAAGTTTCTCAGGGAGATCACCAATTTTGATCTCAAATCTGCTCTGAATATCGGTGAGGACTTTTTCATCCTCTTCATCCTTTGTGAAGCTGATCGCAACTCCTTTGGTTCCAAATCTACCTGCTCTTCCTACTCTGTGGAGGTAGTCATCTGTGGCTTTGGGCATATCATAGTTAATAACGATGTTTACTCCTTGGAAGTCGATTCCTCTACCAAAAATCTCAGTCGAAATCATGATTCTCTTTTCAAGATCTTTAAACTGCTTATAAATGCTGATTCTCTCTTCTTGTCCCATTCTTGAATGAATACAAACGGATGGGAATCCGCTCTCAAGCAAGACTCCGTTTAGCGCCTTTGCTCTATCAACTCCATTTACAAAGATGATGACTTGGTTGAATAGGAGGGCATCGAGGAGGTCATGAAGCTTTCTATTCTTATCTTTCTCCTCTAATTTAACAATATACTGCTGGAGACCGTGGAGGGTCAATTTAGTTTCATCATCTATGAATACTTCGAAAGGATCCTGCATGAATTTCTTGCAAATTGGCCTAATATCTTTGTCCATAGTTGCTGAAAACATCATTACCTGCTTTTGGTGAGGAGTCTTTACGAAGATTTTTTGAATATCCCTTCTCATTCCTACTTCCTCAAGCATTTTGTCACACTCATCAAGGACAAAATACTTCAGTTTGTCTAGTTTGAGGTGGCCTCCCATGGCAAGATCAAGGATTCTGCCTGGAGTTCCGACAACAACGGTTGGTGGGGTCTCCTTGAGCATTTTAATATGCTGCTTCTTGGGAATACCTCCATAGATTACTTCAGATGTGACATTTTTGAAATACTTGGTAAATCTATCAAATTCTTTCTTGATCTGGAAAGCTAATTCTCTTGTATGACCCATTACTAGGCATGAAACTGGCTCTGGCTTTTCATCTAGCTGGTCTAGAACAGTGAGAACAAAGACGGCTGTCTTTCCCATTCCTGATTTGGCTTGGCACAATACATCAACTCCCATCTTAGCTTTTGGGATACACTGTTGCTGGACTATAGCAATTTTATTGGGCTGCTTCAGAAAACAAAGTTGGAGCATCAGAATTAATTGGTAGTTGAGAGCCAAAGCTATTGCACCATTGTAGAGTTCCTGAGGATATACACTAGCTCTTACCTTCTGATGGATTCTCAAATCCACAATCTTGGAGGGCTCTTTGGAGTTCATACTTCAGCATATGGTCTTTGAAAGAAGTAGAGTGAATAGAAGAATAAGTGAGCTTATTCTCACCACCTTGCTCACCATCTACAGCTTGGGCTTCTTTATCCTCTATTTCATCAATCTCGTCATAGTCTAAAACTTCTTCTTGTTGCTGATTATCTTCCATATTTAGCCTTAATAAAATATTATTGTTTCATTTCCGGGTCAATTATATGGGGTTTTGGGGTTTTGGGGTTTTGGGGTTTTGGGG